CAGGAGGGTGGCAGAGCCCTGGAACTTCTAGCTGGAATGTGGTAAACAGAAAGCAAAAAGGACTATTAAGATAGCAACTTCTATGGCTCAGCGGTAGAGCGCTCGCCTCACACATGAAAGGTCCTGGGTTTGATCCTCAGCACCACATAAAAATAAATAAATAATAAATAAAAAGTTATTGTGTACACCTACAAAAAATAAATATATATATATATTTTAAAAAAAGATAGCAACTTCTCTCAGCTGGAATGTCCAGGCCAACCAGGGAGTTAAAGCCGATCTCAGCACTTCTCCACTGATGCAGGACCGGCAAGCTGCAGGGCCAGGTGAGATACTTTCAGTACTCCTTCATGGAGCCCAGACATCTCCCCTGCACTCTCTGCAAATGGCCCATCTTTCGGCCTGTTTAAACCTATCAGAAAATTCAAGCTAGCTGAAAAGGGCAGATCCACCCTAAGGCTTGTGTTGGTGGTGGGGCCTTTTGAGCCAGTGTGAGAATCTTCATATAAACTGACCTTCTTAGCCAGGAAGTCTGGCTTAAGAGCCACAATGCACAGACACCACCATATGTCAGTGATGTTTCCAGATGCTCAGCCAGGGGGTCCTATGTTCTATACCCAACTTGGGGCCTGCTGTTCATATTCCAAGACACACTCCAGCTGTGGGAGTGGAGTCTCCTCTTCGTCTTTTACATGGTGCTAACCATTACCAATGAGAAAGAACAGAGTATTTATTGAGCACTTACACATCACTGTAGTAGCAATGACTATACCTAGACTCTGCTGTTTGTGGTTAACAAGTACCAGAAATCCCCAGCCCCACTTGATTTCTGTTAGCTTTTCATTGCTGTGACCAAAATACCTGACAAGAACAATTTAGAGAAGGCTCCAGAGGTTTAGTCCATGGTTGGCGGAGTCCATTGCCCTGGGCCCAACATGATGCAGAACATCAGGCAGAAAGGCATGATGGAGGAATGTGGCTCCATACATGGTAGCCAGGAAGAAGAGAGGAAAGAGGTCCTCAGGGATGGTATATTCTTCTAGGGCATACCTCCAGGGACCCACCTCCTCCAACCATGCCCCACCTGCCTATAGTGACTACATTCAAATGGACTGATTAGGTTACAGCTCTCACATCTAATCATTTCACTTCTGAATATTCCTGCACTCACAGGAGCTTTGGGGGACACCTTTCGTCCAAACCAAAACAGAATCCCATCTAAGTGAGCCTTGAAATAATTCTGTGAAGAAGATTTTGATTTTTCCCATTTCTCAGGTTGGAGGAACTCAGGTCAAGAGAGGTTAGATGACTTGCTCAAGAACACACAGCTACCAAGTGGTAAAGCTGGGACTCCTGATCACTCACTGGATTCAACATCTCCCTCAGCAAATTCTAAACCATCTTTCTGGTTTCTTCTTCCCCTGCCTCTCATTCCCCTGAAAGTCCCAGGATGTTGCTAGACCATGGGCTTTTACTCCTGCTGCTCTCTTCCATTGGAGCAGCCTCCCTAGTTCTTCTTGTCTATCACCATATAGCTCTCCTCCTGGCCAATGGGGAGACTACAAATTCTACCCTCTTTGCACTCATGTCTTTGGATGATTAAGATCTTGCCAGTTTTAAAAAATCCAAATGTGCCTGTTAGTGTTAGTAACTTGACATAAGTAGATTCATTCAACTTAGCAATGGTTGTTCATCCCTTGGGGAGCCTGTACCAGCCAGGCTAGTTCAAGTCTGTGGACGCCAGGTGGGAGCAGAGATTCTGGCCTTGAACCAGACATCTCCCATCTAAGCTGGCTGCTTGAAGACAGAAAGGCTTATGTGACTAGATATAATTAATTACTTACTTTTTCTTGCTGTTGTTTTTCTTTTTTTGAAAAATAGGATAGCCGAGTGTGGTGGCACATGCCTGTAGTCTTAGTGACTCAGGAAGATTGTAAGTTCAAGTTGCCTTGGCAACTCAAAAATAAAAAGGGGCTGGGGATATAGCTCAGTGTTCAAGGGTCCTTGGATTTAATACCTGTACCAAAAAAAAATTTTAAAGAATATAAAAGTTAGAAGGTGTAAATGTAAAGAGTGAGGCAAATAGATTAAATAAATAGACAAGATTATAGGTTGAGGATCCCTTATCTGAAATGCTTTGAACCAGAAGTATTTCAGATTTTGTATATATATTTGTATTTGGGAAGGGGTGGGCTTTGGAATATTTGCATATCTATTATCTATCTATTCTTCCTATCTATCTATCTATCTATCATGTAACATCTTGAGGAATGTTTTAGTCAGCTTTTTTGCCACTGTGAGCAGAAGACCAGACAAGAACAATTAGAGGAGGAAAAGTTTACTTGGTTCACAGTTTCAGAGGTCTCAGTCCATAGACAGCGGCTGACTCCACAGCTCTGGAACCAGGGTAAAGCAGAACATCATGGTAGCAGAGTATGGCAGAGGAAAGCAGCTCAGGGCATGGCAATAGGAAGCAGACATTGCAGACCAGGGACAAAATATAAATCCCAAAGGCATGCCCCCAGTGATACCTCCTCCAGCCACACCCTGCCTGCCTACAGTTGACCTCAGTTAATTAATCCCTATCAGTGGATTAATGCACTGAGGAGGTTAAGGCTCTCATAACCCAATCATTTTACCTCCAAACTTTCTTGCATTGTTTCAGACATGGGCTTTCGAGGGATATCTCATATGTAAACCATAACCGGGAAGAGACTCAAGCCTAAACATGAAGTTCATTTGTTTCATTTACAACTTATACAGATAGACATAAGGCCATTTCATAGGACAGCTTTAGTGCAGCTGTGTTTTGACTGTGATCTGTCATATGAGGTCCGATGTGGAATTTTCTATTTGTGACATTGTATCAGGTTCAGAAAGTTTCTGATTTTGGAGCATTTGGGATTTTTCTTTTCCTACTAGGTACGCCTCACTTGTATCATATAAAGTAAAATTTGGAGGCTTTTCCTTCCAGGTGTGAACTTCATTACTTATATTTCCTTCCGTCCCACTTCATCCCCTTATTCTTCCTTTGGTGGCTAACAGTTTATTTTTTGATGCCTTTTAAACACTTTGACTGTTATATGTTTATTTTGCTTCTTTTATGATTTCTAATATATTCTATTTCTAGTCTTGTGGGTGATTTTTAATTTAATTTAATTTAAAATATTTTACCAGACATTCTAAACTTAATTTCATCTTCTAAACCATCCAAAACAAAAGCACGTTCTTAAAAAATTCTTTTATAAAAACCAAGGAATTCAGTGAAAGTGGCATTTTTCCCCCTTTGTCTTTTCCTCTTTTCTATTCTTTTTGTTATAAAGATTAGATTCCTTTATTTTCTAAAAATCTTGTTTTGCAACATATTTGGTTTTTGTCCATTGTAGTGTGTTTTCATTCCAACAGGTGCACCAATTAATCAGTCCTTAAACTTGGGTGTATATCAGAACCACTCAGAGGGCTTCTTAAAACAAATTTCTCCAGAGGGCCTGATTGGGTGGTTCTGGAATTGTGTCTTAGAACTTGCATTTCCAACAAGCTCTCAGGAGCTGCTGCTGCTTTGGGGGCCCAACTTTGAGAACTACTCCCTTGGATGTGTCTTAGAAGGACCACTGCCCTTCTCCTTTTGGTGCTTGGAGACTAAAAAAACTCCGTGTGAAGAATTTTTCCCTGGATTTAACTCTTAAATTCTAGAGTTATTTCTGGAAGATTTTTCAGAAAAGACAAAAGACTGGTGGATTCCTCAGACTTATTTTGATAATCTTCACTCATAAACATATGACTGTGAAAGGAATTCTTGATTATGTTGTTGTATTGTTTTTTCTCATGGGGTCTGGCCTCATCTGATGGCTAAAGTCTGCTGTTTATCAGATTTAAGACCATCTAAAGAAACTTAGATGTGCTGGTCACCTTTTTGTCATTTATGATCAAAATATTGGACAAGAACAACTTAGAGGAGGAAAAGTTTGCTTAGGGCTCCCAGTTTTAAAGGTTCAGTCCATGGTGAGCCAACTCCATTGCTCTTAGCCTGAGATCAGGCAGGGGTAATATCATGATGGAAGGGTGTGGTAGAGGAAAACTGTTCAGCTAGAAGAGAGACAGAGACAGAGACAGAGAGACACACAGATACATACCAGGGACAAAATATAACCCCCAAAGGCAGCACTACCGCCCGTGACCAACTTCTTTCTGCTTCCTACACTTAATGCCCAGCTAATTCATTCACATTATTAACCATATAATGGGTTAATCCACTGATAAGGTTACAGCTCTCATAATCTAATAATTTCACTTCTGAATGTTCCTACATTAACACAAGAGCTTTTGGGGGACACCTCATATATAAACCATAATAGCTAGATTTTTTTCTCCTCTGATTGAAAGTACCTAGGATTAAAATTTTTCCTTTCCCATTTCATTTTTGTTTTGAGTGTGTGTTTCCTCAGTGCTGAGCCTGATGCCTGGCACACTGTCATGATAGCAGCCACCATTTATTGGGCACACTCTAATCTAATCCTTGCCACCTTCCAGGAGACATGGGTATTCACATTATCCCTGTTTAAAGATTAGGAAATCAAAGCTTCTTGGGGGAACTAAAGTGATTTGTCACTGCTGGGACTACAATGCAAACTAGGGCTGGCAGCTTCTGGACTTTGCTCTTTGACCTTCTAAGTAGTAGGGACTCAATACTTGCTGGGTGAGTGATGAATGATCAGGTAGTTGCTGTGTGTACTGTTCCTGCCAATGGAGGCATGCAGCAGGTAAGCTTTGGATAAGAGAAAGGGGGAGACTGTTCCAGGGGTGGAGTGAGCCTGGGGGGATTGGAAAGCATTCCCTGAGCAAGTTTCAGAAGGAAGACATTCATTGCTTCCTTAGTGCTCTGCCTTGTGATGTTGGTGGTGGTACCTGGAAAAGGCTGTTGCTAGGAAACAATGGATAAATCAGATGGTGCAGGAAGGCTCCCACAGTGATGCCCTGTTTGCCTCTTCCCACACCCACAGCCTCGGCCTTCATCATCGCCATGCTCCTGGCCAGCCTCAACAGCTGCTGCAACCCCTGGATCTACATGCTCTTCACGGGCCATCTCTTCCATGAACTGGTACAGCGCTTCCTCTGCTGCTCCTCCAGCCATCTGAAGGGTAGCCGCCCAGGAGAGACTAGCGTCAGCAAAAAGAGCAACTCCTCCACATTTGTCTTGAGCCGACGCAGCTCCAGCCAGAGGAGCTGCTCCCAGCCATCAACAGCGTGACCCACTGGTCTGGGTCAAAGCCACCTGGGTTGTGCTGACACAGTCTACCCCTTGGTGGCCCATGTACATGTATGTATCAGGTACTGATCAGCTCGTGTCCCTCTATACCTTGGGGTAGCTTGAGGGTGATGGGGGACTGGTGTGGGGTGGGGAAGAGGTTTCTGTGGTGGAAGATGATAGGGTGACTCCTCCATCAGATAGTCACCCTGAGCTCCCACAGGTACTTCTGTTACCCTGATCCCATGGCTATTCTCTGCAGTGGGTGGTACTTTTCTCCCCTGGACCTCTCCAGCATCTTTTTACTCCTTTATTATGGGTTCTTATGAAAGGTAATAAGTATGGGGTTAGTGACCAACTTGATCAGGACACCTGGTGTTCTGGGCTTGGTATATGTAGTGGGGGTGGGACTTCAGATGGTGAGGGTGGTGCTAACTTCCTCCTGACCTCAGAGAGAGTGTTTTTGCCTTTGAGTGGACAAATCTTAACATTCTTGGGACCAGCTGTCAGGAGATTGCCCTTGGAGGAGGAGATCCCCTCTAAGGCCATCTGGCATAGATAACAAATGAGAACTTGGCTTGAAAATGTTTAAGAAGCTAATATTTAACAAGCATTTTGGAAAGAGAACTAAAAGGAATCCAGATTGGAAGGAATAAGTAAAGCTATTTGTACATGACACGATTTTGTATATATAGAAAATCCTAAGGAATACACACACACACACACACGCACACACACACACACACACACACCTATTAAATAAATGAGTTCAACAAAGTTATAGGATAGAAGATCAATACATAAAGATTGATTGCATTTCTTTATACTACCAATGAACAATTCAAAAATTAAGAAACAATTCCATTTATAATAGCATCATAAACAATAAAATAGGAATAAATTCAACAAAAGAAATGTAAGACTTGTGCCTTGAAAGCTACAAAATATCATTCAAAGAAAAGTCTTATATTAATGGAAAGACACCCTGTGTTTATGGATCAGAGATTTAATATTGCTAAGACCTCAATACTATCCAAATTGTTGCACAGATTCAATGCAATCTTTATCAAAATTTTAGATGGATTCATTGCAGAAATTGATAAGCTGCTCCTAAAACTCATAAGGAAATTCAAGGAACTCCGAATGACCAAAAAATGCCTTGAAAAATAAAAGGAAACTTGGTGGATTCACACTTTTTGATTTAAAATTACTATAAAGCTATAGTAATCAAAACAGTGTGGAACTGAATTCTGGATAGACATTTAGAGCAATGGAATAGAATAAAGAGTACAGATATAGTCCTTATATTTATGGTCAATTTATTTTCACCAAGAGTACTAAGATGATTCTGTAGGGAAACAATCATTTTTCAAACAACTGGTGCTGAATATGCACACACTGAAGAATGAAGTTGGACCCTTACCCACACCATACCAAAAACTAATTCAAAATTTATCCAAGACCTAAATGGAAAGGCTAAACCTGTAAAACACTTAGAAGAAAACAGGCATAAATCTGTGTGATCTTACCTGGTTGCAACCCTATATAAACAATAAATCTACATCCTGCTAAAAAAAAATCTGTGTGATCTTGGATTAGACAATTTTTGCTTTGATGTGATACCAAAGATATAAGGACAAATAGATTCATTGGATTTCATCAAAATATAAAACTTTTGTAATTATCCAGGGAGTAAAAGGACAACTACAGAATAGGAGAAAATATTTGCAAATCATATTATCTGATAAGGGATATGTATACAGAATACATAAAGAACTCTTAAAATAAATAAACAAAAAGAAGCCAATTTAAAAATAGGCAAAGATTTGGATACATATTTCTCCAGAGAAGATATACAAGTCCCAAATAAGCAGAAGGATGATGCTCAACATTATTATTTTTCATTAGGGGAACGCATGTCAAAACCACAGTGAGATTCTACTTCACATCTACTAAGATGGCTACAGTCTAAAGGCTGGACAATAAGAAGTGTTGACAAAGATGTAGAGAAAGTAGAACCTTCAGAAATTGCTAGTGGGAATGCAAATGATGCCGCCATGGTGGAGACCAGTTTGGCAGTTCCTCAAAAAGTTAAGCATAGAATGACTGTAGCATCTAGAAGTACCACTCTTTGGTTTAAACCTAAGAGAAATGAAAAGATATATATATATATACACACCCAAACTTGCATACCAGTGTTGACTACAACATCATTTATTAATGTCCCAAAGAAAAAATACCCAATTGTCTACCAACTGATTAATGGATTAAAAAATGTATATCTATACAGTGGAACGTTATTCAGCTATAAAAAGGAAGTACTAGCCTGGGGTTGTGGCTCAGTGGTAGAGTGCTTGCCTAACGTGAGAGGCATTGCATTCGATTCTCAGCACCGCATATAGATAAGTGAATAAAAATAAAGGTCCATCAACAACTAAAAATATATATTAAATTTTTTTAAAGTTCCAATTCATACTACAACATGGATGAACCTTAAAAAAAATGCTGAGTAAAAGAAAACAGTTCCCAAAGCCACACATTGTTTGATCCTCTTTGTCCGAAATGTCCAGATAAATCTATAGAAATCTACAGAAATTGACTATTGAGTAATGGTTTTCAGGGGCTGGAAGCTATGGGAAATTGAGAGCAACTTCAAAGAGGATTGGGTTCATTTTTTTGGGTGGTGAAAATGGTCTGGAATTGGTGCACAATTTTGAGAACCAATTTTCGGGTTTTTTTAAATGTGTATCTGAACTGCACATGTAAAAGATACAAAATAAAAAATGTTCTGCAGTTGAATTCAGGGAAAGCCAGCATGATGGATGAATTGCTTGGAATTTCTTACCTCCCTGAGCTCTTGTTTGTTATGTAACTCACCGCTTCCGAGTTTCTGCAAGAGAGTGTGTTTCCATTTTGGCCAACAGCAGAGGTGGCGATAATACCCTCACCTGGCTTTAATAAAGGCACAGGGGACACTTGTAGCTGTAGATGGTCATGTTTTATTTAGAATAGCAATTCTCCAAGGGCCTCAAAGGTTCTGCTTTTCTGATAAACATATTCTCAAATGTCCTCTCAGCCCATGGATAGGACCTGACTATGTCTAAGAAATAGAAATTCCTTTAGTCATTAAATACAGGACAGTATTGATCAGAGATTTTCTGTCTGGGACTGGTCAGCTTAGTGCACTCTGGGGCACCTTTGAATAACTATACACATTTTTTAATTTATTGAGATACAGCAAGAGCACTTTCCAAAAGCCACAGGTCCATCACACACACACACACACACACACACACACACACACAATGCACACAAATGAGCCAGCATGGTCTAGATGTTCTGGGAGAGGAGAGGCACATACTGAAGTGCCAGTGCTCAACCTCTTACAATTTAGTACAAGACCTTCAGTACCAACCAGAGATGGAAGGCAATACCATCTTTGGAGTCAGACCTTGCACCATGGTGCTATGACACGTGCTCAGAGTGCCAACACCAGCCTGTCCTTCCTCTTTGGGAAGCTAACAGGATGCTTATTTTGGGCTCTCTGTGCCCATGTCTTAGAGCTTTGGGGTGCAAATGCAGTGGTGGTGGGGTCTGTGCCTTGCAGATGCTCTGGTCCTGCTGTTCCCTAAGAAGTTGCCATCCTTGGAGCCACCTGAGGTCAATGAGGACCAAGGGGATAGTCACCTTCCTGGGACCCTGGAGTTGTGAGGATCTTAGGCATCAAACCCAATAGGTCATCATTCTCTTCATATGAAAGCCCTTACTAGTACCTGGGTTCTCATAATGATAGCAGAGTCTGTGTTTCATGGTATATAAGTGACATTTGATTTCCACAACACTCCTGGATCTATACCCTCCCCTCCCAATCTCATCCCTGAGAATATTTTTCACTGTCTCTTTCTCCAACCTAAGTCTGGAAGAATGAGTACAGAGGTCCAAAATGCTCCCTGGACTTTGGTTATCTATGTCTTTTCCCAGACCCCCTGCCTGAGGTCTGCCCAGTACCTGCCTCTTCCTACAGTTTCAGACCAATTCACAAACCATGTGCATGACTGGAGGTGCCAGTCAGCTGGAGCCTTCTGGAGTGTTTCAGAGTTCTCATCATCAAAAGTGAATGTGTAGACCCTGAGCATTATTTCTTTAGTCCCTGAAAAAAAAATCTTCTGCAAATGTGATCTCCTTTTGGAGATGAGTCTATGAGTCACCATTTCTGAAAATGCAAGGGGACATAATGCCTTTGATGAAGATCCTGGTTTCAGAGTTCTTCACGTTTTTCTTTTTTTGTATCCGGTTGCAATGATCTACCACTAAACATGCAGTGTTGGTTTTGTTCCACTGTGGTGACCTCCTGTGGTACTCCTGTGTACTGTGCTAACTGGTGAGTGATGTGGCCAATCATGATATGTCTGCTTTGTAAAAGGTGCACTTAATAAACATCTTTTTTTCATACACTGCTTTGTCTTGTTACTCCCTCCAAGAAGAGGCACCATATCTGGTGGTTTTTAGACTCCATTTCTCCTTTAGTACTACACAGTCATCTGTCTGATGCAGGTGTATGGGTTGTGGCAGGGGACAAAAAGTGGTCCTGGTTCCATTCTCCAGAATCCTAGGTACATGTATTGGTCTGTTGGAAAATGCTCTAAGACCCTGAAAAAAAAAAAAACTCTTTTGTGTGATATAACCTGAATCCACATGACCCACAGTCTGACTCTGGAGATAACCGGATTCTGTTTTGTTACCTTGAAAGGACCTTGACAAATAATTCTTAAAGGGGAATTTGCAATTTGAATCATGGATGGATTTGCATTAAATGCAGATTCTGGGGCCCTATTACTGAATCAGTCTCTGAAGCTGGGGCCCCAGAACATGCAGTTTAAACACAAGTTGCTGATAATGCATACAGAACATAAGAGGGACTTCTCTGTCCTTCTACCTGGAATCTTTTCTCGTCATACCCGCATTGTGCTCTGCTGCTGCTTCTCAGTGGGATTCCTGGAGGGGACAGAACTCTTCAGATGTACATATACCTAACATATGCATCCTTCCTCCAATTCCACGAATCTCATGGATCAATAAGCACCTGCCATAGTCTGCCTTAAAGAAAGAGTGGCCTGGAAAAATTGGAGCTATAGCCCAATGCAGTTATAGCAAATACCACTGTGGTGAGAACCTCTGTCTAACCCAAGATTGCAGATTTGAAACTGATGGCCCAATGATTGTGAGAAGGGCATTTGAAAGGGCAGATCCTTTGAGGAGGATATAACACCAGCCTTAATCCTTTTCAGCGAGAGGATCCAGGGCTTGCAGAGTCCACTAGAGAATGTGGCCAAGCCCCAGGGCAGAGCACAGAGTAGTGGTCTGGGAACACAGTGCTTACGCCTGCTGACTGTGCAACTTTTAGAGAGTCTGCTGACCTCTCTGAGCTGTCATTTTTCTCATCTTCGAAAGAAAGGATTGAATGGTGAAGTGTTTGGAGGTAAAATAGACTGATATTGCAACTACTTAAAAAATGCATCAAAATGAGACTACAGATAAATAGAAGGATGGATGGACAGATAAAAATGTGATAAAGCAAGGGCAGTAGAATGTTAATCTCAGGGCCAAGATGGTGGGTATACAAGTGTTCACTGCAAACCCTTTCAACTTTTCTACATTTGAAAATCACATTAGATATTAGATTAAAAACAAAAACAGGGGCAAATTTTTAGAGCTGAAATGAACAATAGAGATCATTTTCATGGATAATAACGTTGAGGCCAGAGAAGGGAACTAGGAACAGAGGCGATACTAGAACCGAATCCTCCTGTGTCCTGACTCTAACACACTGTTTCCCAAGACCCCTTGGGCTCGAGGCCAGCACCAATGAGGTAATGCCTCTGTCAACTTGTAAAGTGTCTTGGAACTTTAATTTTATGAGATATTATGTTTTATGAAAAAGGAAGAGAGGTTAAATAGGATCTGGGCTGGGGATAATATGGCCTAAATGGGCTTCTTTATTACAGAACTTGTCAGAAACTTTAATGTGCTATTTAATGTCTACTGAAAGTCTCCAAGAGAAATATATGGCATTTCTAAACAAATTTGGCTACAGAAACTAACCTCCCTAAACTTTGTAATTTTAATTTTTACTTTTTTTTTGAGGACTAATTTCTGGACAGCATGCTTGGGAAAAGCAGTCCTAAGAATGGTAAGATTGCCCTGTGTGTGTGTGTGTGTGTGTGTGTGTGTGTGTGTGTTTGTTGTCATTAGGAGGGTGGAGAGAGGTGGGCATGTCAATTCTGTTGCTTTTATCCCCATGATGAGTCCACACAGACACACATGGGATTTCACATCTCTTAGGGATGAAGAAGTGCACATACCAAGTGGGAAGGCCAGATGTGCCAGGGCTTAGTCTCTGGTGAGCCAAAGACTCAGCAGTTCAGAAAGATTTGAGGCTGAGCCCTGCCCTGAGGTATATCTGTCCTAAAGTATATCCATCCTGCCAGCTCATGGACCATTTTCCTCTATTGGTATCATTATCTGATTCAGGGACAATTGAAGTCATTTGTAAGTAATCTCCCAATGAACATGGCAGAACATTTATCCAGTAAGCAAGTAGAATCCCAAGAAAAACTACTTGATTCTGGTCCCACCAACTTTCCACACTTCTGCTTCTCAGGGAGTGAAATGTACTTCCAGGACTGGTCAGGACACATACCAACCTTATGGACACAAACAAAGCACAGCATTCCCTCAGTGCAGCTGAAACCCTTTATTGGAGCCACCCTCCCCACACCGACAGTCACTGGTCTCTTTCTCGGGTGTGGACAGGTTGACCCTGAGTGGGAACTGATTCTGGTTCACGCTGTTACAGTACAAGTGAATGCAAAGACTTGCAGTAGCTGCCTCTTAGAAAACCATCTTCCCCCAGCCCCAATCATGGGGGCATCTTGGCAGGGCTGGGGCAGAGTGAAGAGCCACAGTGTTTTTGTAGCTGGGCTCTTTTCTTTCTGGCTTCCCTATACTGTGTGCTCCCATCTTGGGGGGGAATTGAGCAGTCCCTAAAGAAAAAGAGCTCTCCAGCACCTCCCATGGAGCAGCACCTGGGGAGCCAGCCTGGCCTGACTCTCCCTGCCCCACCAGCCCTGTTGCCCCATTTGGCTTTAGATTTCCTTCCGCAGCACCACCTTGATGTTGCTGCAGATCTGGCCCAGGGCAGCGAAGACTGGGTTGCAGAAGGTACGAATACAGAGAGAGTAGATGTGGCTGATGCACTGGATCTCAATCAGGTAGCTCTTAATGCATGGCACCACCGCCCAGATGTGGCAGAAGGAGATGCAGGCGAACAGGAAGCCCCAGAGCAGGGCCAGTGGGACGCCGAGCAGCGTGGACAGCAGGCGGTAACACCAGTACTTAGAGACAGTGAAGGTGGTGTAGCTCACCTTCCACACGCCATCGAAGCTGTAGGTGCCCACGGGTTCTGCAATCACATCTTCAAAATCCACCTGCAGGGACGGGATGGGAGATCCTCAATGCATTGCATCCACCCACTTCTCAAGCTTTCATGAGTGTGGCTCAGAATCCCTTGGGTGGGCTCGTTAAACCCCATCCTCAGAAGATTCTGACTGCAGGTCTGGCTGGGCCCAAGGCTCTGCACTTCTAACAAATTTTCCTGATATCTGTGCTGCTAGTCCCCACCTGTGCTGGAGTCACCCCCTGCTGCAATAGTGAGGTACAATGAAGAGCTTGTCTAACCTCCTCATTTTATGGATAGATAAGCAGGCCCTGGAAAGTCCAGTGACTTGCTCAAAGCCAACAGTAAGTTTGAGGCAGTACTAGAGCCATGAGTCCTGCTATAGTTTGGGTCTGGACTGTCCCCAAAGGCCCATGTATTAAAGGTTTAGTCCCCAGAATGATGCTGCTGGGAGGTGTTGGAACCTTTAAGAGGTGGAGCCTAGTAACAGGTCTTTAGGTCATTGGGGGTGTGCCCTTGAGTGGGACTGTGAGACCCTGGCCCTGCCTTCTCTCTTTTTACTCATGGCCCTGAGGTGAGCACTTCTGCTCCACTCCTGTCATGATGTGCTGCCTTGTAACAGCACCAAAAATAATGGGGCCAATCAAGCATGAACTGGAATCTCCAAAACTGTGAGCCAAAGTAAATCTTCTTTCTTTATAAATTGATTTTCTCAGGTGTTTGTTACAGGGAGAGAAAGCTCACTATGAAGCTCCCAAATTCTATTATTTTAAGATCCTAAGGGAGTTGAACAATCATATTCATCCTGCAAGGATGTGCTGAGCACCTGTAGATAGAATGGTGAACAAGCACAGGTTCCTACCCTCATGGGGCTTATAGTAGGCAGTTATAAGTGCCAGGCTAAGGGGAGAATAGGGGAAATGTACCCCCAAGCAGGGCATTTAACTCAGAGCAGGGGTTAAAGAAAATTCATAGAGGAAGAGACATCTAGCTGAAGCTGATATCTGAAGATGTTCAGGTAGAGAGGAAGTTATGCCCTGGAAAATAGTATTTGTGTCTGAAGGAGAAGAAACTGCTAGGAGCTATTGGGATAGAGAGTGTGGGCTCTCAGGAGATGCAGGTACTTCTGGAAGGACAAGTGCACGACCAGAAAGGAGATTGGAGAGTGAAGCTGGGCTCTCTCAGTTCTGTGGCCCTTTGAGGGCTTTAGTCTGGGGTGGCTTGGTAGGATCTGGGTTTCAACAGCTCATTCTGGCTGCTGCCTGTTGCGGCAATTGGTAAGGCTGGGAGTGAGGATGGTGCAGGGCCAATTAGGACATGGTGGTCCCTGGTGTAAGGTAGTGGTAGTGAGTTAGAGAAAGGTGCATAGGTTCAGAAAGGAGCTACTCTGACCTGTGGCAAAGTGAGGTCCATTTCTGGAGCAAGCTTCACTGGCTATAAAGGTGTCTGAAACTGACTGTGGCTAACCTTGCCTGAAGAGCCTCGTGGAGGAGGCTGAATTAATTTTCCTTGTCCTAGCTTTGCAGTTACTATAGGCCTTCCTCCCTGTTCCCCAGGAATGTGGGGACTCACTTCAGTTCATACAACCCCTGGAGGAGGTGACTGAGGCCTCATATGGGAAATAAAAAAAAATCAATGGATATAAAAGAAAGGTAACTTTCAGCCAAGCCATTTACCTAACCTTTATGGGGTTCCTCCTGTGCATTAAACATCATCCTAGCTGCTCACTCTTAGGTGATGTTGTTTAGCATCACTACATCCTCTCTGCCTTCTCTGTAAAGTAGAGGTAACGACCCACATTTCAGTGTATTCTCCAGGATGAAAGGATGGAAGACTGTTAAATTCTTGAGACGATTGAAAAGCACTGAATGTACATTAGGGCTTGATGACGGGTGGACCCAGTGGTATGACCAGGACATCTTACCACCTGGAAGGCTGAAGAGCTGTTTGCTGTTGTGAGAAAATATAGAAATGCCCGTTATATCATTTGGATCTTAAGTGTCCCCCAAAGACCCTCATGTTGAAGGCTTGGTCTCCAGGTTGGCACTCCTGAGAGGTGGCAGAAGCTTCAGGAGGTGGGGCCCAGTGGGAGGAAGTTAGGTCATTGGGTGGGGGTACCCTTGAAAGGGATATTGGAATACCAGCCCCTCCTTTTCCTCTGTCTCTTTGCTTCCATGAGGTGAACAGGCCTCCTTGGTGATGTGCTCTTGCCATGATGTACTGTGTTACCATAGGCCCAAAGCCATAGGCCAAGAGGCTGTGGACTGAAACCATGAGTCAAAACGAACCTTTCCTCCATTTAAGTTGATTATTTTAGGTATTTGTCACAGTGACAAAAAGCTGACTAATGCAGTCTTAGACCTGTCTGAGATATTTCCTGTCTAATAAAAGTGGGTTAAATAAAATCACAGACTAATTAGACTAATGGAAGAGGCCTACGTGGGCAGCTGAGACCAGAAATCTGATTTCAGTCTTCCAGGGCTTTCCTTTCCCACTGTGGCTGTGGGGAGATGATTCCTTCCCCAATGGGCAGTTATTATTACAATTACTTTTCATTATAAAATACAGAGCCATATCACAGAAAATGAAGAGAATAGAAAAAAAATGAACAACGAAAAAATCGTCTCTGATTTGTATCTGTCTAATACTAAAAGTATTGCTTTGGTGCATTTCTTTTTAGAATAATGGTTTTTGGGAAAGGGAGTGCATAGAACCATGATGCTCAAGGAATCTTGGATCCCTTTTTCTCATATGGCTTTCAGTTCTGAGCTCTTGCACCAGATCTCAGATCCATGGACCCTCCTATATATCCTGGATGGGGACAGCTTAGGATGAGGTCCTACTCAGGGTAGTAGATTAATGGGCAGCAAAGTTTGCATGGTGAGATTCTAGGCTGCAGGATGAAGAGTCAGCAGGGCCACAGGATTCCCTCCCTGTATAATCTTAGCCCCTGGTTGTTTTGATGGAGATGGCTTAACCTCTTAGATGACCCTATGGATGGGAGAAGAGAAGAATATGGGCCTAAACTTCTTAGAAGTATGTAACTTCTTCCTAGAGGACTTCCAGGTTGTGGTGGATGGATGAAAACCTGGGAAAACCGTGGGTCTTGGAGCAGAGATGGAAAAGACATATGCTAGATATTTGGATAAGAGGGCCCAAGTTGGTTGGGAACATCTCATGGCTTTGGAGACTGGATGGAAAGAGATGGCATCACTTTTTATCTATTTTGCAGGGCTGGGGATAGCACCCAGGGCCTTGTACATATGAGGGAAGTGCTTTATCACTGAGTGATAACCCCAGTGCAGGGCTGGAATCTTCTACATCTGGTTTATATGGGACAAAAATCTAGACTTGCTATTTCTTGAGGGAGTTTTTAAACTGGAGAAGGTGGGGAGAGTACCCCGGGAGTCCCTTCCAAACTTGACTGGGCATATAATCTGCCTGTTTATGTATGGGTCTGTTAAGTCAAATGCCCAGGGCTTGGATCCTGCCAACTGAGAAGCTCTGATCTCAGCAACCTGCCCTACCCCCATATTGGCCGATGCCTGTCTTGTGCCTGATACCTTTTGGACTGGCTTCTAGAGATGCTGTGTGGCCTCAGAAACCTTCCAGTAGAGATAGGCATTCGGATAGAGCCTTGCATCTCTGCCTCATCCCATCAGTTACTGCTCCTTCCTGTCTTCCTCTGCTCAGCACCTGGTGGCCCGTCCAGTCTTCTAGTGAGTATCCTTAGAACAGAACCTCCCTATTCACAGATTACCCAGACCTGCCTCTTTGACTTCAGGTGGGCAGTCAGGCCCAGAAGGGGGGCCTGTCCAGCATCACAGGGCCAGATTGAATTTAGACATCCTGACTCTAATCCACTATCTCAGCTAAGGTCAACCCCAAAGTAGATTCTGTCTGTGCTGTGCTTATCAGGGAGGGTGACTGTACCCTCTGAAGTTTGGCCTGGGCAGGCAGACAGACTGGATTTGACCTTGAGCAAGTCATTGAGCTTTTCTATGCCTTGTTTTCCCAGCTTTGTCTTACAGTAGTTGTCAGAGGATTAAATAAATTAAGGCAAGAATTTAATTAAATAAATTAAGGCAAATACTCAAAACACTGGCACAGAATACCTGATTAGGAACTGCTAGCTGTCATTATAGTTTGAATCTTAAATGTCCCCAAAGGCCCATGTATTAAAGGCATAGTCTCCAGGGTGGTGCTATTTTGAGGTAGTGGAGCTTTTAAGAGGTGTGACCTTGTAGGGGGGTCTTTAGGTCATTGGGGATATGTCCTTGAAAAGATTAATGGAGCCCTTCCCCTTTCTCTGTCTCTCCTGTACTCCTCTGCCATGAAGTAAATGGCTCGCTCATAGTGCACTTCCCCTATGACTTACTACCTTGTCATAAATCCCTTGGCCCAAAGCAGTAGGGCCAACCAATCATGTACTGGAACCTGAATAACTGTGAGCCACAATGAGCCTTTGCTCTTCGTAAGTTGGTTGTTTCAGGTATTTATTCTAGTAACAGAAAGCTGATGAATACAACTGTTGTTGGAGATCATCTTAGAGTGCTTTCCTCAATAGGAAGCTGGACTACAAAGGTGGGTTTGCATCCAGAGCAGATGCTGACCAGATGAGTGACTTTGAAGGGTCACTTAATTTCTTCGAGCTTCATCTCCTCATCTATAAAATGGAGCTGCCATTTTTTTCTTATTGTGAAGAATAGAGATAATTTTTCTTTCATCTATTCATCCATTCATCTATACTCTACCATCTATTCATCTATTCATTCATCTATTACTTATCTTTTCATCTAACCATCTATCCACCTTTTCATGTGTCCATCTATCAGCCTACCCATCTTCCTCCATCCATCCATACTTCTACCTACCCATTCACTTATCCATTTATCCACTTGCCCATCAGTCTTTCTTTCCTCTTAACCAACCAACCATCCATCCATCCATCCATCCATCCACCCATGTATTCAAACAAGTATTTATGGAGTATCCACTTTGTTTCCTCATACCACCTCTTGGGCAGTGCTT